CTACTTCTGGTCCTGATCATGGGTATTCCATCGTCTATGTTGTCCTTTCCTAGGCCCATTTGGGATTCCTGTACTTGCTTTTTTCTTTTTAAATTATTTGTTTAATTTGTGGCTGGTTCTTCGTTGTTGCACGGGCTTTTCTCTAATTGCGGCGTGCGGGCTTCTCATTGCAGTGGCTTCTCATGTTGCAGAGCACAGGCTCTGGGGCGCAGAGACTTTAGTAGTTGTGGCGTGTGACTCAGTAGCTGTGGCTCCTGGGCTCTAGAGGACAGGCTCAATAGTTGTGCTGTGAGATCTTCCTGAACCAGGGATCAAAACCCTGTCTTCTGCATCTGCAGGCGGAATCTCTACCCCTGAGCCACAAAGCCCTGTACTTGTGTCTTTATGTGCAGGTCGCCAGTGAATTTCTGTTATGAGCTGTGTGTATCTATGGGCTCTTTTCCCCACATATTTGCAGTCTGTGAAGACAGGTATTTCCCTGGGTAGTGACTTGGGAGGGTGTATTCAAATGCAGTAATTATTGAGCTCAGAGCTCCATATCTTGGGAAAGTGCTCCTTGCCATGAGGTTTTGGTGGGGCCCTCTGCACAATCAATCTGGACATCAGGCTCCACCTGCCTGTATTACAGGGTTTCTGCATGAGGATTGTTTAGCCAGGTCACTGCCTTTTGTCTCTGACTGTGATGGTGATAAGAGAGGTGGCACGTTTCTCACCAACTGGTTTTTCTTTCCTCCCTCTTTCCCTTGAGATGATCTGGTCTGGACTAGTTGACGGGTTTACTTTTGTTCATCTCTGAGCCCCCTTTGCTTCTGAAACTCCATGGTTTTATGAAATACATGCTCAGAGCTCATCCTGTACCTCTGGCAGTTTTAGGGTTTTCTCAGTGAGCAGGCTGGGCCAACGAGTATCGTGCACTGTGGGGAAGCCACAGATAGTGTCTCCCTGTGTCAGGGGATGGAGGGAGACTTTGACAGGCTTGCTGGAGAACCACCCTAGCACTTGAGACTCTGCTGAGAGATTAATGGGGACCATAGGGTTGGAAAGGTTTCCTGAAAGAAGTCAGTTCTCCTTTGGCCCTGCGAGATGCTATATTTGAAAGATGCTAAGGATGGCGCTAGTGGTAAAGAACCTGACTGCCAGTTCAGGACATGTAAGAGATTCAAGTTTGATCCCTGGGTCAGGAAGATCCCCTGGAGGATGGCATGACCACCCACACCAGTATTCTTGCCTAGAGAATCCCATGAACAGAGGAGTCTGGCTGTCTACAGTTCATAGGCTTGCACAGAGTCATACACAACTAAAGTGATTTAGCACACACCCAAGGGGTAGAGGCAGGTAGCTTCTGAACCCCCACACTGGCTGAGGGCGGGGTGCTCCTGCATCCTAGCCTTGTGGGACCATGACCTAGACCAATGCCAGGGTACCCTGCAGGGTGTCCCCTCAGGAGGTGCCAAAAGATATGTTAGTCATGGGTTTCTTTTATCCTGGTTATTGAGCAAACTCAACCAATTCAGAGCATGAATCAAGAGCCAGAATAGAAACAAAAAAGACCTTAGATTTGGGGTTGAAATTGACATCAGACTGTTGTACTGGAGCGAGAGTCACTTAGTCTGAGCAGAGCTCCTCACTCAGGTGCCTCAAAGCTCATTTTCTCTGTTCACACTAACGTTGAAGTTATACTGGGACAGAGGGTGATGGCCCGAGGCAGCAACTAGGAATGACTCTGATAGCCAGTTGTGAGGGAGAGCACGGAGAAGAACGTGGCGTGGGCGTGGGCACGGGCACAGAGCTCCGCCTCCTAATGGGGTCTGACCCCTCTGCTCTGATAAGTAGGTGGCACAGCCCAGCGCTTAATGCAGGTGATGATCATGCCGACTCGTCAGCAAGACTCCGGTCATATATCACATAGTTGACTGTGTTCAAAAAGATGAGGAAAGACAGACAGGATTTTAATCCAAATCTCAGCTTTGTGTGTGTGTGGTTTTTTTCCTTTTTTACCTTCCACTTTAGCTGTCACCTTGGGGGCAGGGGGTTGGGGTGGGGATGGAGAGCAGGTCCACAGTTGCTTCTGGGGCTTTCTGGAGCCTCTGTTGAGACGGGGCTGGAGGAAGAAAATGCCAGCTATCCCATGTTACATGTCTGGTCCCTGAGCCCTCCCTAGGCCTCCCAGGGCTCTGGCATGATGCAGGCTGTGGATTTGCCCAGCCCTTCCATAGCTGGGCATGGGCAGATACCCTTTCTCTGGGTGACATGGTGGTTTGGGGGGCAGAGAGGTTGGAAAATATGGCCACCAGGCTCCAGTCCAGCCGTTCCGTCTCTGCCTCCCAGGCCCCTCCTTGCGGGCTGGCTGAACAAAAAAGTCAAACCCCACAACCACAGAGGGTTTGCTTTGAAGACGGGCCTGAGAATAACCAAGTTTTAAATCTTGATCAGGGGAATACTTCTGTGCTGGAATCCAGACCTCTCTAGATGTGTCTGTGTCAGCGCAGGAGTGTGGGGTGAAGTGGTCTGCAGGCTGAGAATCTGTGTGCGTGAACAGACCTGTGTCTGTGTGGAAGGGCTCCTCATCTCCAAAAAGCCCAGAGACTTTGGAAAAGCAGTACCTGGGCAGGGGGATGAGGTACACAGGAGCTCCGGAGCGTTTGACTAGGCAATGACTGACTAGCGTTTGACTGACGAGTGACTAGGCAGGGGCCTTGGTCAGTCTAGGATGGAGCAGGTGTGCCGAAGCAGCACGTGCCCTACCCCAGGGGGACGGTCGCAGACAGAGGAACAGGGAGGAGGCTGGCCCTGCTGAGCCAGAGATCTGCTGGGCGGGGGCGTCTATAGAAGTTGGGAGGTCTTCTGCACAAAGATCTGTGATACACAAACCTCAAGGGCCCCTTGACTTCCTCAGGAAGCCCACCCAGGTGCCCACCCAAGTCCGGGCTGGTTAGAAGCCCTCCTCTGTGCTTCCTTGGCTCCTGTGCATTCCAGTTGGTGGTCACAGAGCTTCCGTTCCACTTCGATCAGCAAGGAGAAGCTCTTCCTACCCTATCTTTGCATTCCCAGGACTTGACTGACGCAGGTACTTAAATAAGAACATGATGAGTGGGCGACTGAGACATGAATGACTAGGGCTTTTGAATGTGGGTTTGCTCTTAGGAATCTTATTCTTCTGTTACTGGAAGTTGATCTTGCCACTTCTCTCCAGCCCTGCATGAGTGTGCATATCTAGGTTGATACTAAGCCTTGACTGAATGCAGATCACAGATCAAGGCCCTGTGTGGGGATATGAGTCAGAAAGTACTGCTGTGACTCAGCTCTCAAGGAGGTTAGCTGGTTGACTTCTAGACTGTTTTTCGATTCCCATGTTAAACTCTGGGGACACGACCCCAAGGGGAGCTGAGGACTAGATTGACAGTGTCAAACTGATGGGTTAGGGGCTATCTTGTCTTGGTGTGAAGATCCCTGAGCCTGTTGGAGAGGTATAGCAGGCAATGGAATCCTCTAGGAATTAAAGGCAGTTGTGTCCTGATGCCCAGGCTATTGTAAATAATCCTTATACGCGCATCTACTTCAGCGGGGAAGAGTCTGCCTTCAATGCAGGAGCTACAGGAGACTTGAGTTCGATCCCTGGGTTGGGAAGATCCCCTGGAGTAGGAAATGGCAACCCACTCCAGTATTCTGGCCTGGAGAATCCCATGAACAGAGGAGCCTGGTGGGCTAAAGTCCATAGGGTCTCAAAGAGTCAGACACGATTGAAGTGACTTAACACAATGCACTTAGCAGGGAACCAGGAAGACAGATATAAAGGGCAGAATACAAATAACTTTGTGGAGTTTAGCATACCAGTGGTTGGTGAGCACCTAAGAGACCTGGAGAGGTTGGTACATACCTGCACTGTCCTACAGCAGCCGCACATCTGGGAGAAGGAGCACAGGTTAGAGGATGGAGATCCAGACTGAAGTTCCAATGCTACTGTTTGGTGGATGTTATCCTGCCTGCAGGTCATGGATTTTTGAGTCTTGGTTTTCTTCCCTTGAATGATTGTGAGTGTCAGGTGAGATGAGGTATGTAAAATCCCTGGCTGTGTTAGTATAGGGCACTCTTTGAAGTGGGGAGTGTCCTGCATCTGTGACTAAGAACCTGTTCTTTTGCGACTGATGCCGAGTATGGGTGTCCCAGCCCCACCCCCCCACCGCACCCTGCTGCCTCTTCTCTGCTCCTCCACTGCTCGACGAGGGGCCAAGCAAAGGACAGGTTAGAGATCTCAGGACACTGGCAGGGAGAATCCCCTTCACATACCCTCTTGGAGGGCCGGAGGCAGCAACTCATGGAGCTGGAGGCCTTGCAGACCAAGAAAGAGGGAGGTCTCAGCTGATGCCTCAGGGGAAGGAAAAGGGTCTTATTTTCTCTGAAAGAGGGAGTTCTCGCTGGCCTGGGATGGATGGGACTAAGAGAAGGTGTCTGCAGCTAGCATCTTTCCAGCGCACTCTTCTCTGTGCAGGTGTTTGAGCTATAGAAAACTGAAAACCCTACCTTCCTTCCACTGGGGGCAATGAGGTGTATGTGGAGGCACTGCTCTGGATCCTGAGAAACTTAATCTATACTTTGTTCTTTCACTCAATACTCTGCGGCCATCTGTAAGTCTCTTGACCTTTGGGGGCGGGGGGGTCCTTAGATTGTTCTGCTGTAAACTGGAAAAATGAGGATAGTTCTGTGTAGCCTAAAGAAATCTAAATGAGAAGTTATAACATTCCCTTCTCACCTGTTGGCTGCATTTGATGTGGCTAATGATGTGGCCTGGGAGAAGACATAAAATCCAGTGGACGATGGGGCTTAGTTTCATCTTTAAATTTTCATCCTGGAGACAAAAGATGTGGTGAAACCCAGGAGCCTTCTGTATGAGGCTACCTTTGGTGTTTCATTATTTTACCTGACTCCAAAAGATGATTTTTCTTTTTTCACATAGGACCTACTGGGAAAAAAACTGCATTAATTTTATCTTCTTTTCTCAGTATCCAGCGAGCAGCATTGGTCGTTCTGGAAAATTACTATAAAGATTTCACCATCTATAACCCCAACCTCCTAACAGCCTCCAAATTCCGAGCAGCCAAGCACATGGCCGGGCTGAAAGTCTACAACGTAGATGGTATGTGCCTTGAAGTGATGTCTCTGGTGGGTGTGGGAGCAGGTGGACAGCTACAAAGATTAAACTCTGTTCCGTTTGGTTCTGTTCCTCTCTCAGTTTGCCTTTAGTGGTACATTCTCATATCAGAACAATTTTTTCTTTTCCTCTTTCTCTTTTTTTTTTTTGGCTGGCAAACATATTTTTACAGAAATGTTGATTTACAGTCTACATGTGTGGGAGTTTCATTCATCTTGAGATCTTATGAAAACTACATGGAACAATAATGATGTAGTTTTTCTGCCTCCTGCTGTGAATATCATACATTGAAAGCTCATAGGAAAAGGCTGCTTTTCAAAATTTGGATAAGTTACCTGAAGATTCAGCTACCCCAATCTGTTAAGACTGTAACTCCCAGACCAGGCATCTGGTGAGGTTCTTACAGGCATTTCTCAGTCCTGGCTGGGAGCTGGGATTGAGTGGGTGGAGGGACGCCAGAGGCCAGTGTGGGGACATCAGAGCTGTGTTTCAGGCTATCAGATGGGTAAGTGCACGAAACAGGACACGGTATCATTACTTTCAGGACACCTTGGGTCAGGGCAAGAACTCTGCAGCCTGGAAGAAGATCATGTTGTTAACAAGTCAAGTAATTTATAGGTGGTGTCAGTTTGGGTGACAGTATCCTCCCTGGTTTTTGTCATCCTTTTGGCTATATGAGATGTTCACTGTCTTGTGAATCTTAAAGGATAGGTAAATTTCACCTGTGATCTGAAAACTTAGTGCAGAATCCCATTAGCCAGCCAAGCCGTTAAGTAGATACTACGTAAGAAAGCATGCGATCTGCCTTGTCTTTCTGAAAAGTTTAGGCGATCCATGGTCAGGGCCATGAGACCAGGAGTTCTAGGTCTGTCTTAATGAACATTACATTTTGCCAGCCCCGAGCATGGGTCTTTTCTGTAACAGCTGTGGCTACCATGACACTCCAGCAGGAGCTTGGCAGTGTCTGTGTGGGTGTTGACTCTTTTCTCTGTCCTTTTCTCCCCATCCCTTTCATTTTCTCCCATTGTCTCATCGCTGAAATGCATGTTCCAGCTGCTCTGATGGCCAAACTGGAACTTCCTGTGACAGATGGTAAATAACATCTTCAGCACACTCTGTTATTTTGGGTCAGCATTTTAATTGTCAAGCATTCTTCATCTCCTATGGAGTTTTTTTTTCCATTTCCATTCATCAGATTGAGTGTTCAGGAGATTTCCTTCCTCTTGTGAGCATTTTGAGCGCAGAGCAGGGGTCATGTTCATCTTTCTGGGAGGTTACCTTTGGGATTTGTATATGGGCTTCACAGGGGTTGGGCAGATGGTACTGACAGACTGTGGACTAGTTTTCTGCTGTTTCTCACCCCAAGGCATTAAAACTGTCCTTCCTCCACCGTCCTTTCCCCCAAAGGCCCCAGTAACAATGCCACGGGTCAGTCCCGGGCGATGATTGCCGCAGCTGCTCGGCGCAGGGACTCGAGTCACAACGAGTTGTATTATGAGGAGGCGGAACACGAGCGGCGGGTGAAGAAGCGGAGAGCAAGGTACACTGCCCAGCCCCCACACCAGCACCCCGACCAGACTTTCTTTTTGAATGTACACTGACTCTTTCTTTAAAATTTATTTTACTAAAAAAAAAAAAATTTATTTTACTGAAATGTAGTTGATTTACAATGTCATTAATTTCTACTGTATAGCAAAGTGATTGTTATACATACATATACATTCTTTTTCGTATTTTTTGTGTTATGATTTATCACAAGATTTTGAATATAGTTCCCTGTGCCATTCAGTGGGACCTTGTTGTTTATCCATCCTACATGTAATGTGCATGCGTGTTAAGTCACTCCAGTCATGTCTGACTCTTTGCGACGCTATGGACTGTAGCCCACCAGGCTCCTCTGTCCATGGGATTCTCCAGGCCAGAACACTGCAGTGGGTTGCCATCCCCTCCTCCAAGGGATCTTCCCAAACCAAGGGATCAAACTGGTTCTCCTGCCTTGAGGCGGATTCTTTATCATCTGAGCCAAACGGGAAGCCCTCCTGCATATAATAGTGTGCATCTCTTCTCAAACTCCCCATCTGTCCCTCATCCACCTCCCTCCCTCCCTTTGGCAACCAAAAGTCTGTTCTCTGAAGACTCTGTTTTCTTTAACCAGAATGAAATTTCAGTTTATAAACACAACCTGCTTGGGTCTTTGGAGGGAATCTTGCTCCAATATTTCTCAAACTGTAGCTTGCAAAAGCATCACCAGGAGGACTTGTTAAAACACAGGTCTCAGGTTCCGGCCCTACCCGCAAAGGTTACTTACTTTTCAGTAGGTCTAGAGTGGGGCCCACCCAAGAATTTACATTTCTTAAAAATTCCCAACTGATGATGAAGCTGCTGGCCTTCAGCCCACACTTTGACTGGCCCGCCCTCTATCCCCAGGCCCTTGCTGGTTTTCAAGAGCTGATCACTTTAGCTGAAGTGGACAAAGATGGTTTTCATCATATGTGCTGGGCCTCTTCCTTCTTTGTTCCCTGGGGCTGCTGGTGTGGGCGGCTGGATGGAGAGGATGCAGCTCTGGTTCTGCATAAAGCTGCTTCTGTACCACCGGCCACCTCTCAGTGCATGCAGAGTCTTTTGTAGCCACAGTTTGAGGGGCCTTAAAACTCTTTTCATCTCGCACTTCATTGTAGTGGGTCTCCCAAGCAATTTAGTGGCAGAGTTGAGATTAGGAGTCATCTCTGCAGTCCCGGCCTCCTTCCTCCTCTCCCCGGAGCCCCCATTCCACGTATTACTTTTGCCTTTGTCTTCCTTTCCCCTTCCCTCACCTCCCTATTGTCTGGGGTGACACCTGAGGATGGGAGCCTTGGGCCAGCTGGTGGCCGACTGAGAGTCCTCCTCCCACGTCCTGTGTGACTCTGTTTTCAAGCCCTGCACCGCTGTCTGATTACCATGTTTCATCGCCTCCAGGCTGGTGGTCGCCGTGGAGGAGGCCTTCATCCACATCCAGCGTCTCCAGGCTGAGGAGCAGCAGAAGGCCCCAGGGGAGGTGATGGACCCCAGGGAGGCCGCCCAAGCCATCTTCCCCTCCATGGCCCGGGCTCTGCAGAAGTACCTGCGCACCACTCGGCAGCAGAACTCCCACAGCATGGAGAGCATTCTGCAGCACCTGGCCTTCTGCATCACCCACAGCATGACCCCAAAGGTGCGTCTTGGCGCCGAGCTCACAAGTCCCATTTTAGGGTGTTTTCAGGGATGATAAGTTCAACGGTTTCTCTAAAGCACCCACTGATAAGAATTAATGTTTCTCGCTTATTTTGTTGTCTTGGTGCAGTTGTGTTTTTTTTTTCCTTTTTTAAAAAATTTATTAATTTTTTAATTGAAGGATAATTGCTTTACAGAATTGTGTTGATTTCTGCCAAACATCAACATGAATCAGCCATAGGTGTACATATGTCCCCTCCCTATTAAACCTCCCTCCCCATCCCACCCCTCTAGGTAAGTTACAGTCTCAGTTTGAGTTCCCTGCATCATAGAGCAAATTCCCACTGGCTGTCTGTTTTACATATGGTAATGTATGTTTTCATGTTACTGTCTCCATACATTGCCTCTTTCCCGGGTATGGTTGTTTTTTAAACATGCCTTTGAATTGAAAGCTTCTGGATTCAAGCAGAGGAAAGACTTTCACTTAGAGATAGCCCAGGTAGTAATTCAGGGTACTCTGTATATCCTGGGCCTGAGTTGATTTGTTCTAACCTGGCACCTCCATCAACTAGTGGGAAACCTTGGGCCAAGAACTTAATGGCTCTGTGCCTCAGTTTCCTAGTCTGTAAAATGGGGATAATACCAATGTCTACCTCATGGGGTTGTTGTGAGAACTAAAAAAACTGTGCAGTGCTTAAAATAGCATCTGTCATAATGTAAGGACCAAATAAATAGCCATTATCATCAGGGGTAGAAACCATGCCCTCACTTTGTTTTGCGTTTTGTCTGTTGGGGGGTTAGTTTTACTAAGTGATCTTCTGGACCGTTATGACATGAGCACACTTTTGGGGATGTTGCAAAGAACCTCCGTGTGTCTAATAGAGGGCTGTGGCCAAGGAGGCAAAATAAAGTGTTCAGCCAATGACCTCTTCAGACAGAAGTGGATTCAGATCTGACTCTACCACCTAATTGGTTTGTGACTTTGCCTAAGTTACTCTACACTTGTTTCCTCTTTTATAAAATGGAGATAATAATAGCATCTGCCTGATAGGATCATTGTATGAGAATTATATTAAATATGGCAGCATGACATGTGTGGTAGAGAATAAATGAGCTTGGCATATGGTTTGCATGTAACACTGGTAGTGATATTATTGGTATAAAGGCCTGTGTTCACACATTGCCCCATACATATACAACTGCTGGCTGCACTGTTACTAACCTTATCAAACCCTAGGAAAGTAATATGGAGATATTCAGTAAGAAGCCATAACATTTTCCATATTCTTTGGTTCACTAATTCCCCTCCTAGAAAAAGCACTTAGCACAGTCAGTGATACACACTAATGTATATATGGATTATTTTGCAAAATACTCTTTATTAACTCCAAACTGGAAATAACTTAAAAACAGAACAGTGGCTTACAAATTATGGTATATCACCTCTTAAAATGTAGAAGAATCTGTTAGAATATTAAGTTACAAAAAGCAGAATGCAAAAAAGTATGAACACTGTGGTTGCAAGTGAGTACAGCATGTCTGCCTATGCAGAGGGATAGCTCATACCACATAGAATGGAAGTGGTTATTTTCCTTTTTCCTCAAGGTTTTTAAGTTTACTGGTTGCTTTCTTTTTCACTTAAAAAAAGTATACTTTTCCAAATTAAAACTAATAATCTTTATATAAAAATCCAAACATTAAAGAGAAGTATAATGTACGAAGTAAAATTTTCATCCCTGCCACCTAAACAGTTCTTACTAATATAAAGAATGGGTTTATATTCCTTCAAGTGTGTGTGTGCGCTTAAAGCAGAAATGAACAAAAAAGAAAAAGAAAGAAATGGGAATCTCATACCATAAGGTATAGTTTGGAAACTTGGTTTTTTCACTTAAAGCTGTTCTTGGCTGTCTTTCCCTGTCAGTACTTCCCCATCTCTGTCATACAGATTTCCCTCATTCACTTTAATAGCTGTGTCCTGTTCCACTGAATACCATGGTTTGTTTAACGGATGGTCTACTAATGCACATTTGGATTAAGATCTTTCGTTAGTCTAAACTAGGGGTTGGTGGTTTTTGTTAATCGAGTTTTATTGGGACACAGCCACACCCTTTTGTTTACAGATTGTCTACGACTGCTTTCTCTCTACTGAACTGAGTGGAGCAGTTATGACAGTGTGTGCCTTGCGAAGCCAAAAATATTTACATTTAAAGGAAAGTTTGCCAGCCCCGCATCTAAACAATGTTGCAATGAATCTCTCTTTTTTTACATATGTTTTTGTGCATATATGCAAGTATTTCTGAGGGATCAATATCTAGTAGAGGAATAGCTGGATCAAAGGTACAGATCTTGCCAAATTATCCTTCTAAAGGGTGTTACTGTTTTATATTTCTGCCTATAGGACATGAGACTGTTTACTTGTTTATTTCCCCCCCACCCCACTTGACAGCATTGGGTGTTATAATTCTTTCTTAATCATGCTCATCTAAGAGGCTTCCCAGGTAGCGCTAGCGGTAAAAAAACCCGCCTCCCAATGCAGGAGACTTAAGAGATGCAAGTTTGATCCCTGGGTTAGGATGATCCTCTGGAGGAGGGCATGGCAACCCACTCCAGTATTCTTGCTTGGAGAATCCCATGGACAGTGGAGCCTAGCAGGCTACAGTCCATAGGGTTGCAAAGAATCAGACACAACTGAAGCGACAGCGTGCATGCATCTAAGAGGAGGGAAATATATTGTTGTATTATTTGAATTCATATTTCTTTAACTATGGGCTTCCCTGGTGGCTAAGATGGTAAAGAATCTGCCTGCAACACAGAAGACCTGGATTTGATCCCTGGATCGGAAAGATCCCCTGGAGAAGAGTATGGTAATCCACTCCAGTATTCTTGCCTGGAGAATCCCATGGACAGAGGAGCCTGGTGGGCTACAGTCCATGGGGTCGCAAAGAGTGAGAGTAACTGAGCAACTAACGCTTTCACTTTTCTTTACCTATTACTGTGATAGAATATCTTTGTATATCTTATTTCTATTTTAAAAGTTATCTTCTTAGTTTCATTTCTCTGTTTCTTTTCCTTATGATTCATAAAAGCTTTTTCTTTTTTTTTTGGCTCTGCTGCACAGCCTGTGGGATCTTAGTTTCCCAACCAGGGATTGAACCAGGGGCTGGCAATGAAAGCACCAAGTCCTAACCACTGGACTGCTGGGGAATTTCTATAAAAGAACTAATTTTGTGTTATAGTAGAGGCACAGCTCTCCTTTCTGCCTCAGAATAGATACTTACAGGTAGAAATATTGTATCTGGCAACAGTAAGGTATGGATGGAAGAGGACACCACTTTGTTTAGGGCCAGAATGGTGTATCCTAATATTTTCTATCTATATTCCTGGTTTGTTCATTTTTCTTTCTCACAGCTAAAGCAATATATTTACTGATGTAACACACACACAGCTGAGCCTCCAGCATATGCCAGGCACATGGGAAATTCATATTAAAAAGTAGTTCCTGCCCTCCAGGAGAGGATAGTTTATAGTGTGGGGCTCAGACAAGCAGTCAGCAGTAATTGTTCAGAAAGGAGAATATCACATGGGAGTCATGCCCTTGTTTATAGGCACTTACAGGACATGTTCACCTCTCTGAGAGGCTCAGCTAGTAGTTTGAGAAAATTTAAAGAGCCAGGAGGAATTTGCCGAAGGACAACCTTCAGCAAGAGGACTGGCACATGTCAAGGGGAATATCCCGCCCGTGGAACTCAGTGCTCCTGGGGCCAAGGGCTTGGGACGGGGAGGTGGGCGTGGGACCTGGCCAGCCCTTGGATTGCCACATGCACACTCCATCCAGAGTCACATAACCACCCTTATCTTGCACCATGAGATGGTTCAGGTTAACCATTTGGTCCTCACAGCCATTCTATGCATTATGGCTGCCATCTGCTCCACTCCCAGAGAGCTTAAATGGCTTGTCCAGAGGCACACAGCAGTGAATGCAGAGCATGCATTTTTGTGTGAGCAGGTATATCCCTGTATTTCTTCCACCCACATTGTCAGAATGCCTGGCACTTGCCCCGAGGAGCTCTCAGGATGGGAGGAGACCAACCTATGAACAGGTACAGGCTGAGGCATATGCCGTGGGGCCCAGGCCCTTGGAGCCACAGCTTACGTGGGTACCAGCCACCCCGCCTTCCTCGCCCCTGTGCTTACCGCTGTCTGCACCCTCTGGCTGGAGAGAAAGTCAGGAAGCCTTCTCTCGCCAGCAAAGGGCTCTGTTGTGCGGGTCTGATGGAACTGGTATATGATCAGCCAGGCTGTCCTGGTTTGTTGGGAGGATGTTTCTTCCCCCAAGACTGGGAGCCTGGCAGCGCCCCCTGGAGTGGGCATTCCCCCCCTAATAGCATGTCTGCTGTCCTTACAGGCCTTCCTCGAACGGTACCTCAGCGCCGGCCCCACACTGCAATATGACCGGGAGCGCTGGCTCTCCACGCAGTGGCGGCTCGTCAGCGACGAGGCTGTGACCAACGGGCTGCGGGATGGACTCGTTTTTGTCCTCAAATGCTTGGACTTCAGCCTCGTCGTCAATGTGAAGAAAATCCCGTTCATCATGCTCTCGGAAGAGTTCATAGACCCCAAATCTCACAAATTTGTCCTTCGCTTGCAGTCTGAGACGTCGGTTTAAAAGTTCTATATTTGTGGTTTTATTAAAAAAAGAAAGAATATATAGAGAGATATATATGTATACCAGAGGGGCATCTTTGTTTTTATTATTCTTCATGGCTGACTGAGCTGGCACATGAGAAACCAGGGTCCTTTGACCATCTGCACTTTATTTGGAAGGAAGCAGAAGATGGCCATCCTGGAAGAAAGTGACTGATGACATCTGACTTGGGGATGGGCCATCTCCAGAAGCGGTTCCCTGGCGTTTTCTGTGACAGCTGCAAACCAAAGCGGAGCTGGAGGTTCTTCGGAACCTTGCCTTACGACTCGCCCCTGCCTCTCGTCCAGCACCCGGCCCTGCCCTGGCTTCCGGCCGTCCCACTCCTGGTCCTGGAGGGCACACATCTTCGTCCTGTTTCAGGGAACCCGACAGGACATGTCCACACGTGTTTGTGTATGTAAACGTCCAGCACCACGGGAGCCATGGGCTGTTCATGACACGCCTGCCTTTGTCTCCGTTCTCTGTTGCCTTAGGTTTTGCAGAGAAGGATCAAAATGACACATGTGCACTCTCAGTTTACAGCTCTTCATGATTTGGTTGTTTTTTTTTTCCCCAAAGAGATAATTTGCCTGCCCTAGTTCTGACCTGCTTGCCTACCGGCTTGAGCAGGAAGCCCTTTCTTAACCCTATGATGGCCCACCTGTCCTCTCCATCCTGGCCGGCAGTCTCCAGAGCCACAGAGGACCTGTCTGTCCCTGAGTGCCCTTGGGCTCCATGCACAACCTCGGGTCCGCCCCATGGATTGTTTGTTTGTGTAGGAGAGGGTGGTGTGGCCACCAGGTAGGCCCCAGGGAGAGCTCGCCTGCTAGGATGTTCCCTTTAGGCTGCGGCGGGAGCCCCTTCCCTTGCGATCCTCCTCCAGCTGCTCCACACCCACCAGGGAGAGACCCACACTGTGACTCTGGGGCTGGCACGTTCAGCTCGGAGCCTCTATTTCCCAGGAGATATGTCCTCACAAAGCTCCATAGCAAGCTGCCTTGCCAGGGGACAGCTGCAGCGTCCAGTCCCTGACTTCTGACCACCGTCACTGTGTGCCCATTGCCTGTGCCCCTTACTACCCGGGAAGGGGCTGATTTAGGTCCTGGTGCTAAATTACTTGTCGTTGGTAGTCCAGTGTGGAGAGGGAATAGGCAGGATCCAGCATTCAGGGAAAGGAAAGTAAGGAGACGATCTTAAGGTTCAAATGATGCCTGCCTGGTCTGTTCTTAGATACAGCTGCTTTCTGTGGGCTTTCCTAGGCCTGGGAGAGCTGCTGGGCCATATGCTAGGAGGAGGTGCCATGAGGCAGAGCGCTGCAGCAGACTTCAGTTCCTCCATCTACCTTCCGGTATCCACAACACACTTTTGCCAAATATTCACTCTCGCTTTTCCCTGGTGGTCAGGCTAACCAGTCACCTTTCTTTAGCCAAGGAAAACACTGTCCAGTGCTGTTTTCGTATGTGTCCCCACGTATTCTGACTGGTTTATGCATTCCAGGAGGGGTGCAGTGTTTGTTATTGTCTTAAATCAAACTTGGCTTTGCTTTGGCACACACCTGTTTCTGAAAAAGTAAACAGCCATCTTGAATCCACAGCCTTCAGGTCAGAAAGAAGATGTGTTGGAAAAGAAGGAAAAACTAGTCGATATGGAGTGGAGCCAAGATGTACTATTTTAACTGCATGGTTTTCGTTTATGAAAAACACATACCATGTAACCATGGTGCTTTTGTTCTTCTTAGTTTTGCCTTTAGGTCCCCTTCAAACTGGACATTCCTTATGATGATGTCTTTCTCAGGAATCTATTTTGGGAGACTGGGCAAGGGATGGTGAATGTACAATGAGACTTTGGCAACATAAAGGTTATACTGTCTCAAACTAAACGTATCAGAGGCTGCTGCATCAGGAACCCAGCAATAGAAGTGCCATACATGTATATTCACATGGTTAATAATGACACTATCCATCAGCGTTCCACAAAACTGCTTCCAGCCCTGTCTTCAATTACCAGTCCAGAAGGGGTTAAGTTGGAGTCATGGTTTGGGTGCCTGCCTTCCCAGCAGGGTGAAGAAAGGTTTAAATTAAGGAATTTTTTTTTTTTTTTCTCTCCACCCCTTTCTTTCTCTCCCAGTCTTTGCATAGGAGAATGTCAGACTTTCTGAAATTATTGTTTCTGTTTTAAATTGAGTATCGAATTTTTTTATGCTGACTTTGTATTAAGTCCTTTTTGAAAGAATAACATAATAAAATGCAGGATCTTTGTATCAAGCCTTTGCACTTGCAAACTCTTAATAGCTTGAGTTACTGGTGCAGTGGGAACAATGTAGATGCCATTTAAAAATTTTTAAGGTTTAAAGAAAAACTGTATCATACAGTTGAACACAATGCATTTCTATTCCAGTTCTTGGAGCCAATCGGCTATTCTTTTTTAAAGGGGTAAGCTGTGCTAATAGAATTAGATAAATCCACACTGGGGGAGACAGGATTTTTTTTGCCTTAAATGTTTATAGATTTTCTATAGTGAACCTAAGTTATTAAAATGTGAACATTAAACAGTACATAGAAAAACTTAATGAGGAGTGTGTGTCTGAGGTCACTCTCTTCTCTCCTGATGTTTTAACCAGTAGATATCTAATTGCTGTTCTTAAGTGGGTACTTTTGAAGATAATGCCAACTTTTAATCGTCCATGAACTGAACATTAAAGTCTGCACTCTTAGAGCTGGAAGGGATTTTTAGGTTTTGTGATTAATTCATCCGTTCCATCACCAGCTAAGTCAAAACGTGTAATACTTTTGCTAAAGTTTATAAAGTAAGCCCTAGAGAAAACGCTTGCCCAGTTTTATTGTCCAGCTATCATCATCTCCCTGTCTCTCCTTTTCAAATCTGCAGACAGGGCAAATTCTGTACAGCCGATGGGTAGAGGAGGTGGCCCCAGTATGTGTGTGTTGTGCTGAGGCTCATTGCCAGAGCTCGGACCTCCTTTGTAGTGAGGAATAGTGACTGTGTGGGTGCGTCCAGTGGGGGGGGATGTTCCCCTCTCCTCACCATAGCTGGTGGTAGTTGAGTGCTCTCATCCTCTTGTCTCCTGGTTGCTTTACAGCCTCCTGTCTTTAGATGAGGCTGTAAGCTAAGCCTGGAAAGCCATGAGCCTATTAGGCTGGCAGAAACGGATGACCCGCCCCTGGGAGAGTGCCTGTTGCGGTCGCCCAGTGAAATCAGCAAAATCGGGTCCTTGGTTTACCCGCATCTACGGGAACCCTGCTGTGTGAGGCTGCTTACACAGGGATGCCTAGTTGTTTGTGCCTGTGTGTTGTGATATATGTGAGCTTTTCTCTTGAGTGTAACTACCAGATGGGCGGCAAGTTTATGTTAGCCATCTGATCATCTGTGCTATCTGTAGCAAGACTGGTGTGTATCTCAGCAGATAACTTGTGGATGGGTTTATATGGATGAGGATGTGAAAGTCCGTGTGTTTCTCCATAGGCCCTGTGTTTGAGAGATTTCCTAACAACACCATCTTCTGGGAGGTTACTCTAAAGCCAGTAACTACTCCCTCTCCCTTCGCTCCTTTGCCTCAGTTACACTGGCTTCTCCCCGGGAGTAAATGACTTCAGCACAGTGAGGTCTAGAGCACCGCTGCCCTCCAGGCAAGTCCATTAGACTCTTCCTTGCCTCTGGACCCTAAGACCTGAGAACAGAAACAAAGAAAGGTCGCGCTCCATGATAAGCGACTGCTCCAACTTCACTACCCTGGAAGCCTTACTGTAGATTTCTTGATCTAACTTAAAAATTGAACTTCATTTAAAAAAAGTTTATGACTAAAAGCACAGAAATGGTGCCATAATATTTAAATAGTCCAGCAGAGACCCTGCAGTTGTTAAGTGATTTATTTCTGGGTAGTGTTTGTACTTTATAGATCTTGTTTTACCAAAAAAAATCACTACCATGAATTTACTCCTGTGTAACCTTATGATCATAATCCATTGTAAATGAACTATGGGTTGTTTTCTTAAGCCCATAGCACAGTTTTGGAATGGTAGTCAGTGTGATAGTTGTATTAGGGACCATAGACACTACATTATTGAGCTTTAATCAAGTGGATGCCCAGAAAATTAGATTTTGGATCACATTTTTGACAAAACATATTTTGGTCAAAGAAGGAAGAGAAGGGTAATAGGGTGTGTGTATCAGCTATTGTTATGTTAGACGCTGTCCTCGAATGTGAATTCCTTTAAATCAGGGGCTATCTCAATTTTACAGGTGAGAACAAAGATGATCAGAGAGAGAGGAACTTGCCTAAAATCTCACAGCTAATTAATGAAATTTCACATCTAATGTTTGACTCCAATCCCTTGGTCACTGTACCTTGAGGTATTACCTATATAATTTGGCATTTTCTGGATGTGGAGGAGAGAACCAGAGGACACTTAACCTTGAATCAGAACCTGGGGAGGGGGGTTCATTGGAGGCGGAATCACTTCTCTTTGACTTTGGGTTTCTACCCAGATTATGGCTCCAAGGAAAGCTGCCCTGTGGCACTGGCAGATTTCCTCAGGACTTTCGATGGAAAGAAGTTGAAAATTCCCCTTCCTCTAGGAAAACCAGCCTGCCAGTGCTGCACGTGCCGTAGAACCTGGCTGCTATTGTTCCTGGCAGTCACTTTTGTTTTTGCCCTTCCCACCTTCCACTCCCACCCTGCTGGCTTGGGCAGATGTGTACCTTGGGGAGGTGTGCTGGGGCTGACCTGGCCTCCTGCTGACCTGAGGAGGCCTCTTCCTGGTGCTTTGTCAATATTATGCCCCAACAGCGTCCCCCCAAGCCCGGCCTGTTGTTGGGTTGGGGGGGGGCTTGCTTGCGGCCCCGGCTTGGGGGGTTTTGGGCTGGAGCCCCTGGCTTCCATCCCTGACTTCCTTGTTCTCAGCAAGCACTTCGCGTGGCACTATTTTCCCCCACATTTGCCCTCAAGAGTTTTAATCAAGAGACCTACACCAGGACTCTGAACACACCGTTTGCCTCTCTTCCACTGTCTCGAGGTTTCTTTTGCACATAAACTACCTTCCCCTTGCCTGCTGGTTGCTTTCCATGGAGGATAGGAAGAGAAAGATGACACCTCTCAGCTTTGCTATTCGATTGGCCAAAAAGTTTGCTCAGATTTTTCCATAAAATGTTACCGAAAAACCTGAAGGAACTTTTTGACCAACCCAATACTTACTAGGAATGAGCAAGACACATTTTCAAAGAGTAGGTAGAAACTGTAAAACTACTGACTAAAAGTAGATTTTAGTACTCCATGTCCCTTTTACCATGCCTGTCCCATTTCTCCTTAAATAACCCAGTTTGTGTTGTATCACCTGAAACATAAACCTCTTCAATGAGTTGTTTTAGAGCTCTCCAGCACAACTGCAGATTTCTGATACCTGAAGCAGCGCAATCAAATGTTACTCCCAGTATGGCACCGGGAATCTACAATTGATATGTCTCTCAGCTTGAAAACATCAGTGTTTTGCCCTTGTTTTGGTGGGATAAAAAAACTCTCTTATCTTAAGCCCTGGGGACAAATGTGACCAACTCCCAGGCTTTTATCTTGAGTGTCTTTGGCACTTCTTTTGGCACTGAAATAATGTTTGGATAAAAATAGTTGAATGTACAGTGTCTGGTTTTATATTTGCTTGTACTTATCTGAGTTTTCCCTTGTGGACATGAACTTTCACTCTGAAGGACGTAATCCTTTAGGACTATTTAACCCCCCAAAAGCCCTCACCTTGGGAAAGCTTCATATCTGGGGACCAGAGACTGTTGCTCAGGGAATTAGTAATAGGACCTGGACATCTGATCTGCAGGTGTCAAGTCTAGTTCAATTCATGTTTTAGGGAACTTAGACTGTTACACATCATCACCATTCCAGGGGTCAGGTGGAAAGAAGTGGCTGTCACTTTTCATTTGCCAGTGCCCCACAGTTATAGAGATAATAGAGTATTCATTTAGCATTGATTATCATTCTAAAAAAAAAAATCCAAAGTGTGCTAATAATTCCTTATTTTTATAATGGATTCACAGTAGGCTTTAGCTAAATAGCAAACTCCTCTGGGACTCCTGAATTATGACATGATTAACAAAATTTGATTTTCAAGAAGTTGTTTATGACAACTATTGCCTTGAGTATAGGACACCAGCCAAGATGAGGGCAGGGGTGGATACAGGCTCACTGAGTGGTGAATTAACCACTTCTTCAACAAAGATGCTAGGGAGAAGACCAGAGAGACTAGGACCAGGTCTTACTCAAGGGAAATTTATTTAATGATCACTTTTGTGTTGAAAGAACTTTACATTTCTGGATTTAGAATCCAGTATCAGTCCAGCAAGTTCAGTAAGGAAACCATCTGTCTCTATGTGATGGAGCCATAACTGTGCAGAGACGTGGCCAGGGGTCTTTTGTGTTCTCTCTTATTAGTTAATACCACACTTTGTAACCAGCAGGGGCAGTTTGGCTGGTTAGCAAAGTTCACAGTCACTAGATAGGTATGACAAAGTCTGAGTGTGACTTCTTGCATAAACTGGGTGGTGGGCTTTATTGAGACGTTTCAAATATGTGAATGAATGAATTACACTACCAGCAACCATCTACCCAAGTACATGCATTCATAAGGTGTACCCTGTGAAGCCTCTTCTCATTGTAACATCAGTAACAAAGTTAGAGTCTATGAGGGGCATGGTGTATCTGGTATCCAAGTTATTTTGTTCTCTTTTGGGTCTCCAGTTCCAATGAACTGTAAAACATTTTATGTGTTACATTTTTTATACTGTAAAACTTGGAAAATAAACTGAAATCCCAAATTACATTTTGTTACTTTTTTTAATGTGATTACTTCAATCTAAAAAGTTTTATTTATTGATTGATTGTAATATAGTTGATTTGTAATGTTGTGTTTGTTTCAGGGATACAGCAAAATGATTCAGTTATGCATTCCTACATAGATATTTTTCAGGTTCTTTTCCCTTATAGGTTATTACAAAATATTACGTATAGTTTCCTGTGCTATACAGTAGGTCCTTGTTTTATTTATAGTAGTGTATATATGTTAATCTCAAACTCCTAATGTATCCCTCACCCGACTTGCTCTTTGGGAATCTTAATCTTGTTTTCTACTTTTTTAGGGAACATTTTTACTCTCGAAATAACTTTGATACCCTTTTAAATATAACCTGTCAAGTTTCGCTGAAAACCAAGACAATGTAATGATAGATTGAATGGGAAAGTGGAATTGTCATTGTAAGAAAAACTACAGGTTGCAATCATTGTGTGGTCAAGAGAATGTTTTAAATGAATAGAGTACTGAAAATTAAATTCTTAGGTTCTAAAACTTGGAGGTGAAACAGGCTTTTGAGTAAATCAGCAAGTGAAAAAAGATCTTCAAGTCAGGTAAGGAGGGAGGAAAATGTCAGACCCTGGATTTGTGAGAAAGGTGAGTGTTAGATTATTTTTGTGAGTGGCTTGCTAATTCAGTTTACATTATTGACTTATTTTCAGTAGGTCTACTTAAAAGGAACTTGATTATTTGACAAAGAAGTATTGGAGCTTGCCTTCTGCTACACTCCGCTATCCTTAGTACTGAGTACCTGTAGCACACAATCAGATTCTTACCTGTTGCATAGACAAAGATCAGACTAAGCAATTGATGTGAAGATACTCACTGTATAGATTATTGATAAACTCTGGCTCTGTGCCATCAGCCAAGATGGACACAATTTACACCTACACAAGCAAAACCTCCTCAAGAAAAGATTAAAAGTGTGTAACAAACATAAACCAAAGACTCTTTTTCTTTCATTGCCCATGATAAAGATAACAGAATTTTGGAAGAGCTTTGAGGATGTTAGGTGACAAACCATAGGATTACGGAAGTGGAGAAAGGATTGTCAGGAGGGACCAGCTGCAGCCACTGCAAGCTTTCCCAATACCAGAGACAAGGTGCACCAGTAGTGTGTGGGTCTGGGGGGTATCCCTGCACCAGAGAGACATGGCAATGCCCTATCCGTGTCGTGTAGCGTCTTCTAGTTATACAAGCTAATGTTGACATGGACAATCAAAACTGTGTTTATGTTCTCCAAATTTACACCTGAGCGTGTTTCTGCAGTTCTGAGAATTCATCTGGTTTTAGACAAAATGATGATGCATTTAGAACTGATATGGAGGCTTTAAACATTTTTCCTTTTCTAGTTTCTTGCTCAGCTCTCCTGTCTTGCCCACTCAGTTTTGCCTCCTGTGATCTGCATGTGGTAATCAGTTTTAAGGGTCCATTGACTGAATATTGCAATGAGTGAATGAATGAATGGGAACATGGCACACACTCAATGCTAAGACTACTGGGTGTAACCTAATCATTTGTGACTATTGTAAGGGGAATGATTGGCATTTTGTGGGGTTCTAGGGCTGACATTAAGAAGTCTAGTCATCACTGCTGTAAAGAATCCAGATTGATACAATTCCAGGTTAACCTGAAAGAGGTCTTTAATTCGTCTCTCTAACATTTGGGTCTGTGGATGTATTAAAATAAATGCATTTGACATTTAGATGGCTGTGGTTATCCCATCTTCAGAGAATGAAGCCTGGGACTTTTGCTGTCTTCTCCACACTGCTTTGCTTCCCACCATGATGAGTATATTCCTGGGAGACTTTGCTAACCCAAGGGAAGAGAATATCCCCTATTGGAAATAGTACTGAGCCAAGAAGATAGTGTTCCTATTTCTTCAGCAATTGGCTACCCTAAGCAAATCTGAACAGAAGACACTGTTGCCAAAAACTTGGAATGAGACTGACTTTCAAGAATCACTAGCACATTCTTAATGGTACTAATAGCTGTTAAATTAGCTTTGCATAGGGTTTAGCAGAGTATTCAGTCAAGCACTATTTATTAAGTACCAATCAGAACTTAGTCCCTGAGGTTAGAACAGAATCAGCCAAAATCTTCTCCCTAAGATTGCTCTCAAACTAATGGCAGGAGGGGCATGCACTTAAAGTACAGTAAGTTGCAGATTCTGCAAAAGACCGCCACAGGGTGCTGTGAGGACTAAGCAGAGGAAGTGGCCAGTTTGCCTGGGCCATGACTGGAGAAGAGTCATAGAGTGTATCTCTATGGGAGTTTGCTAGGCAGGCACAGATGGGGAAGGACAGGCATTCTGGTAGATGGAACCTGAGCCAAGGCTTTGAGGTGTTAAACAGCCAAGCAGCTTTGGCCAATTTCTGAGTGTAGCTGTTTAGTCACTAAGTCCAACTCTTTGTGACCCCCATGGATTGCAGCATGCCAGGTTTCCCTGTCCTTCACTATCTCCTGGAGTTTGCTTAAACTCATGTCCAGAGTAGAGGGGTAGACAGTTGGGAGGTGCCATGAGAAGTAAGGCTGGGTAAGGTAGATAAGAGACACTTTGCATAGACCTCCATGTGCTACAAAGGAAATTTGTTTTAACCCCAAGGCAAGGCTAGTCCTGACCCCCCAGTTCACTGGCAGTGGTACTGACCTGACTTCTGCTGAAGTAACAACTGGATGTTATAATCTAAGTGAGGCATTTGGATGCCATCATTCCAAGATGGTACTCCATGTTTGTAGCAGCAATCACCCCAGCAGGACCAGTGCTCTCCCATCCCTGAGCCCAGATATCACCAGCATCAGCACTACTCAGACTTTGCTTTTCTCTTGTGGAGGAGAGACTCTTCAAGCAGGTTTAATTTTATAAGTGCTACCTCATATTTTCCTCCCCAACCTCATGACCCACAGCCTAGACTCCACAACTGGCCATCAGACAACTTTCTGATCAATTCTTGCTCTTTGTCCTTTTAATCTTTAAAAACAAAAGATGTTTCAACACTTGTTGGGAATAGAACACCACTTCCCTGATGACTCAGAGGGTAAAGAATCCACCTGCAATGCAGGACACACAAGAGACATGGGTTCAATCCCTGGGTTGGAAAGATTCCCTGGAGAAGGAAATGGCAATTCATTCCAGTATTCTTGCTTGGGAAATCCCATGGACAGGGAGGCTGGCAGGCTACAGTCCACAGGGTCGCAGAGAGTCAGACATGACTGAGCGATTAAAGCACAATGAAGAATTTTAAGCATGTATGTGACATGATCAGTTTTTCATTTTCAAAAAAACCCTTGATTGCAGTGTGCGGGACTGGAGATGGGAGAGCAGTCAGAACCTTGCTGTCACCCAGCTGAGACTGTAAAGCCTTAATTATACAGTAAGAGCAAGTGAAGAGAAGAGGACAGGACTTGCTTCCTGTTGGATGTGGGAATAGGAGACAGCGAAATGGTTCTAAGATTTCTGGCTGGGAGATTGTCGGAGGGCGATACCTCTTCCCCATTCCTGTGCTTCTGTGAAGGACTTTCCCCAAACACTGCTGGCCCTTTGCCCAGCCCTTGTTCCTGTGCTGAGATGAGTGAGTTACCTGGTTAGCGGGTGGCAGCCATTTGTCGATGTTTCTTAGGATGTGAAGTTAGTGTGTGTGTTGGGGGAAGGGTCCAGTCCATTTCTTCTGCCTCTCCATCCATGACCCCTGAGGGCAGTGGTCCTCTCTGCACACCTGATTCCCTCAGAGGACTTGAACTTGGAGACAGGAAACTGGGAAGCCCATTTACCTAATCTCTAGTCTCCAAATTACTGCCTCTCTGTAATCAGGGTGGTACTCTGCTGACTTTTGGACCTACTTTCTCAGTTGGTTCAGATCTCAGGAAAAGCTACTTTTTTTTTTTTTTTAACTGTGCTGGGGTTTAGTTGAGACATGCAGGATCTAGTTCTCTGACCAGGGATAGAACCCAGGCCCCCTGCATTGGGAGCTCAGAGTCTTAGCCACTGGACCACCAGGGAAGTCTCAAGGGAGCTACTTTTTAAGGGCATCCCCTTAAAACCCCAAAACTGTGTTGGTCTGAGGTGCCTATAGGGACATCCAGGTGATGCTGTCCAGGGAAGATGGCTGGAGTGAGCCAGAAGAAGCCTGGCTAGAGACAGGTGGTTTTGGATGCTAGGGGCTGGACGAGGTGACTGGGGGAGTGGGAAGAGCAGCAGGAAGAGCGGAGGTCGGTGTTGACTTGCATTTGTCCCCAGCAGAGGGGCAGGCCCGGGTCTGGAGATGGTATATCAGTAGGTCTGGGCTGGTGACAGTCATCTGTGTTTTCTAAAACTCAGACATGATTCTGACACTAAACAGACTTGAGGAGAGATGGTGAGAGTGGGAAGTTCGAGGACAGGCCACAAGACCCGCCAGCACTTGAGGGGATATCAACCAGGGAGTGTTGATCAAAAGTTATTTGATAATGACCTCTGACTGGTCACATCATTGATAGACTGGGCTTCCTGGGGGATACAAGCTAGGGCCTGGACAGTACACAACCTTGTTACAGAAAAGACAAACTCATTTCAATTATGATATGATATTCTAAAGAAATACATTTAAATGTTCATTCTTGATAATGCAATTTTTTTTTTTTTGGCTTTCCTAGCAGGAAGGTCAGATTACACAGTTCTAATTAGGCAACATTACTAGCACTGCAAATCGATTGCTTGCTTCCAGAATGAAAGGGAGAAAGACATCTTGGCTTAAACAATAAAAAGGATTAAAAGAAATTCCCTTGAGTCCATCTTGAGATACAATCTGAGTAAAAGAAATGGAATCCTTTGATTGCGTAATTTAAAGAATTAAATTTAGTTTAAATCTTTAAGTATAAAAATGGGGTTACGTTTACATTCCTTTAATGTATTTGTGTGGCTCTGGGAAAATTACTTGAAGCCACTGTGCCTCACTCAGTTTTCCCATCTAAAATGGGAAAAATAACAAAACTCA